AATTAATTTTTTCCATCATCCCAAAATTGAAAGTTCAGATGAATCTGTACAGATTCTCAGAGGTCATCTTTCTCTCTATCTCCGTGTGTGTGGGTGTGTATAAAAGTGAGATACTTAAAGGGTAAAAGGAACAAAAGTTGGGGAAATTAGTTGAAAAAGTATTAGTTCTTACAATGCAGGGGCAAGAATAAATTAAAGCAGATGCACATTGGAAAGTTTCCTTTCTACTTTTACCCACACATCCATTTCTTTGCCTTTTGCAATTAAATAGAAAAGAAGGAGAAAACTATTTCCAGGTGTCTTCACTCCATCTCACAGCTTCAGAAATAGCGATACATGACTTTACTATTGACAGGGGACAGAGAAAGAGAATATCATCTCTTCTGATCCTCTGTTACAAATATAGTTGCAAAATGGTGTAAAATAGTTCTTTTGAGTTCCAGATTTGCGACTGCAAAAAAACTGGATAGTTCTTTTTCTCTTTGCTTGAAAATCAAGTCCACCCTGTCTCGACCACATAAATAGAACAATTTTCCTCTGTGAACTGCTTGATGAGGCTGTGGCCAGATTCATATAAATGTCATAAAAACAGAGTACAGAATGGATTATTTTATGATTAAGATCTGTATGGATCTTTGTATGAATGCAACGTGCTTTGGCAGGGCTCCGCTGCACGCACACTGGTTTTAGTGTGTGTGGTGGAAAAAATGGCCTGCCACACTGTCACTTTAATGTCTTTCTGCAAAGGAACAAAAATCACTGGGCTCCACCAAAGGTTACGGCAATCGTATAAAGGTTTGGTCTGCTAACCAGTACAGTGTGTGTTCTATTTCTCCTCGTGATCCTAACAAGATTGAGATTCAATAAAATGACACGATATTTCTTAGCACTTTGCCATGAAATGCCATGTTGACATCTAATTGTAATTGCAAGGTGAAACTTTCCTGTTCTCTGATTTATGTTATAAGATTTTATTTTCTTCCCATATCTTTGATTGTGTCGATACACTGGAATCTTTCTCTCTTTGGATCTTTCTTTCTTCAGCTCAGATTTATTTATTTATTTTTGGGAGGCGGGGAGAGGCTTCATTCAGATTTATTTTTTTGAAACATCAGACAAGCTGCTATCAGCACCTGGATGCCAAGATGGTCCTTTAATAAAGAATCGTGGTTTAAGAATTTCAACCAAAGGATTAATGTATTAAAGTGAATAATACCGTGCAGGCAGTAGCAAAGATGATGATCAGAGATGGAGAAAGTGAGATTATTGATCACGTGGCTCTATCAGTCACAAACAGGGAGGAGGAAAACAAAGGAGGGGAAAAGGAGATTAAAGAAACAAAATATAGTGTAGTGATGCCAGTTGATTCTGTTGCTAATTACAAGTCTTTGGCAGAAGCCTTTGGTTATACAGTAACACTCCACCTCTCTGGTGGTCGGATTTCCAGCAGTCTTTACCACTCACAGTAGAGCTGGGATCCTGGAATTGTACCTTGTAGCTTTGACCATGTTAAGAGCAACTTTCTTTGCTGGAGATATGAAGCTATCTTCTGGGAAATTTATTGAATTAATTTTGTGTATACATTTAAGATTTCTTATTTAATATACTTGGTTGTCTGGAATTTTTTTAGCTACTTTAAGCTATTCCCTAGGTTATCAAGGAGAGTATTGTAGGGAGGGGGAGGAAAAACACTGGGGATGGGAAAAGAAGTGTAGTTTTGCAGCATACAATGTAATTGCCTTGATTTAGAAGATGTAAAGATAACCCTTAGCTGTGGAACCTCAGGCAGTCTTCATGGAGAGAGGACAATGGTATTGTGCCTGGTGGGATATCTAGGATTTGACAAGGTAGAAGATGTAAAGATGGACATTCAGGAAGGGCAATAAGATGAAGTCAGAAATATCTGGAGTTACTAATGAGGTGCTGAGACCAGCTCCATTTGGTTGAAGTATAAGATGAATCTATGAGAATTTTAGAAACTGAGGTTAAAATGATAAGTAAGGACCAGGGTATGGAGAGTTTTAAGCATTACACTAAGGCATTGTGAATAACAGTATCCAGGCAGCAGGAAAGATGATGGTGAAAGAGAGATTATCAAATATCTAATTCTATTGGCAGGGAGGAGTAAACCAAAAAAAGAGTCCATTGTTGGCAATTGGGAGCTACTTAAAGTAGTCAGGGGTGACACGATATCAGACTTGTGCTCCAGGAGGTGGGGAGTTAAGGAAGGTACCCAGACTTTTGGCTTGTTTGACTTTATAAGTGGTGGTCTCATTACCAAAATGGGAAACACAGAAGACAAGCATTTCGGGAGAGTGAAGACAGTGACATATTTTGTATGGGGAAAGTAGTTGGGTTTCAGAGCATATGTAAATGGCTACCCTGCTTTAGTGGGGGGGGGGGGTTACAAGGCAGGGAACCCGGAGGGAGATTTGAAGTCAACTATGCTGAGCAAAAGGTAATTCATATTAAAGGTTATAATTCAGCGATTAGATTGGATTATTAAGGGATACAGGTAAAGACTAAAGGAATGAGGAATAAGACAGATTCTTAGAACCCACATTAGTGGGAGAAGAGTAGTAGAAGTCTGAGAAGTCAAAAAGACTATAATAATGAGAACAAAGACTCATAGAACTGCAGCATTATGGATAATGGAAAATAAACGGACAAGAGGAAGCAAAAAAAGAACTAATACATACCAAGTATCAATAATATGTCAGGTCTAGATATATACTCAATATTGTTTACTCTTCCCAGGTATCCTATTAGAGGCATATCCTTAGCAGAAATTGATGTTCAGAAAGATCAGGTAGGGTGCTCAAAGTCACACACCTGGCAGGCATCTAAGCTGCAATTTGCTTTCAGGTCTGCTCAGCTCCAAAGTCCACACTTCTGTGTGTCCAATGCTGGTAACAGGTTGAAGCATGTAGGAGAAGGGAAAGTGCTGTTTGATTTGCTGACCTTCAGTACAGTTGTGAGAACATAAAACATATTTTAAAAGGATAAGAAACACGTGGATAGGCCTTGGCTGTGTAGCTCAGTGGACTGAGCGCGCGCCTGCGAACCAGACAATCGAGGTTCGATTCCCAGTCAGGGCACATGCCTGGGTTGCAAACCGGTTCCCTGCAGGCCAGTTCCCAGCAGGGGACGCACAAAAGGCAACCATACATTGATGTTTCTCTCCCTCTCTCCTTCCCCCCTTCCCCTCTAAAGATAAATAAATAAATAAATCTTAAAAAAAACCTTTAAAAAAAAAGAAACACGTGGATAATGGGTTCAATTTAGTGCATATACTATTTATGGGGCATCCGCTAGGTAATGGGGAACCGTGCTGGCTGCTGCAGATACGGAGATCAGCAGGACCTTGTTTTCCCTCTCAAGGAGATGGCAGCCCAGAAGGAGCAAAACACACATCTAGGTTATTTTAATATAATATAGCATCTGTTTGGAGAGCACAGTGTACCATTTCAAATAGTAGAATAAAAATTTAACACAAAAGCAAAATGAGGTTTTTTTTAAAAGATAATGTGCCTGTGAAGATGTGTGTAAGTAAACTAACTAGAGTAGACAATAGTGAAGAGGTCACTGAAGATGTTAAGAGAAGGTGACAGAGGAATGGGACCAAGGACATAAGGTGGTGGGTGGAGTGAGTTCACACAGCAATCTTGAGACCCAGAGAAGAGAGTATCTGATAATAGCCATTGATATAGTTAACAGATGCCCATCACTATCATCTGTATATTCTATGGGGGGCATGCTAAGCAGGGAACATTACCCTAATGTTTAGTGTGTGATTAATATTGCTTGTTGGGCAGGCTACCCTGTCACCTTTGACCACATTTGGCTCTCCAGTTGTAGCTGGAATCAACCAAGACCAAGGCAGAGAAAGTCTTTTTCAATTATTTGCACCCAGGAAATACAATTTGAAAACTGTATCTGGGGCAGATAGAAGAGTCCAAAGATGATTATGTAAGTTTCAAATTCTGATTTATTTTTAAACAAACAGATCTGCGAATGTTTAGGAAAAAAATCTATTTTGTTTAAATCATTAGTGTTCCAGTTGTAAGGGACAAATAATTTAAGCACATTTTACTGTCACTAGAGACTACAAAAGCTGTGCACAAAAATTAAAAAAAAACTTATGTATTTATTTAGACTTCTAAGAGAAGAAAAAATGTGTTCTTATAATTGATTAGTGTTCTTGTACACTGATAGATGATCTCATTGTTTAAGGGTGTAGACAACAATCAGAAATGTTGCCTTCATAGTGTTTGCTCTGTAAGCTGTTCTCCTTGCTAAATTGTTTGGTACTTTCTCCAGTCACCTACAACTTTGCAGTTTCTCTTATAAGATTCAGGCTATGGTCTGTGATGATGCAGCCTCTCCCTTCTCTCTCTCTCATTTTTATTATTTTTGATATATTACCATTTCTTGTTAACATCTCTACTTTTGAAAAGTAATTCTATAATGAGTTTTTCTAGGAATGCTGTTAGACGCTTAAAATGGAAAGATAGGTTACAACTGGAAAGTACTCCGGTGTTACTAGAAAGGCACCTAAAAAGAATGACTTGTTTTGGCTCATTTGTGACACATCAAATATTAAATAAATGATTTCTGCTTCTCACATAATTTTACTACTTAAGATCTAATAACTGTGTAAAATGTATTTTAAATCTTATAATAATAATAGTCATGTCATCTGCAATACCAGTAATCACAGGTTTGTTGACTTACTAGCAATGATAATGATTCCATTAAAGGGAGTAACCTCATGACTCAATGAACCGAGTTTAGCTGTTCAACTTGTGTTGGCACTGCCAGGGCTCCATGACTAAAGATTCACACTTGGAATTGAGATAAAGCATCCATAAATCAGGCACCAAGAAAAACACATGCATTTTAGGAAGCGTAACAGTGTCTTTGTTAACCCAGTATTTTATGAAGAGTGTTTGCTCATTATGTTTGGTCATTAATGTCATCATCTTTCTTTACCACCTACAGCATTATAGCAAAATCAACCAATACCATATGAATTTACTTCTGGACATATGGAAAAAAGAGATTAAGAGACCAACACTGGTTTTTAAAAGCAACAATAATCTAACAGTGAACTTCAAAAATAGTAATGACATTTTATTTTATTTTTGAAAATGTATGCTTTATAACCTTTGCTATTTCAAACTCTGATAGGGTTAGATCCCTTCATCCAGCCAAGAATGACCCACAACCCACAAGTTACATCTCATATTTTGAAACTCACATTATGCTGTTGGCCTTTTTTTTTACTGACTCATACAATTGTAGTTCATTTGCATTATATGCTAGTATTATAATGCTATAATGCAATTCAGTAAAGTGCTATAATAATCTATAAGTTTTTAGTAAATAGTAGTTTACTCCATTTCTTGGTTTCACTGTTGTTTATCTAAATTGGGGATATTTTCTCATTGTTTTTTTCAGTATCCTCCAGAGCCTTCTCAGATTACCTCCTTTTTATTTTTTCTTTACTATTTTCCATACCCGTTTATTGGTGTTATGTTTCTTAATGCAATTTTAATTATAACACTGTAATAATGCCATATATTCTCACTAAGTGAGACAATTTTCAAGGTGTGGATTCAAGAGACTACTCATTAAAAAAATCACATGCCTGCTATTATGCTGGTTGCTGGTGCTAATTTTTCTTATTGCCATTGTTTGTAAGTATCTTTTGTTAGATGAAAGCAAATATCTTAAAGTGATGTATTTCTTTTTAGATTGGAACTCTTAAGAAATATTTTAGGACCTTACTAAGAGGCTCTAACCATGGACTGTGGTTGATGTATCAGATTAAAGCCCAAGGGCATGGCCACATCATTATGACAATAGTTTAAGTTGTTAAGAAGCTCAAGGACCAACAAGTGAGAATGTAATTCTCCATCAAGATTGCCAGCTGTTTTTAAGTGTTTGGAGACCAAGATGAAGACCACAAGAATCAGTGGCAGATTGTCAAAGCAATGATGCAGAAGCCTACCATTACCATTACGAGCCACAAGAGGTACGATTCTGTTTCCTGTGATGATGAAATCCTAGTTGCACTCATTGAAAGTGGAGTATAATTAGTTTGTGAAGATTTCTAAAATTCAAAACTTTTTTAAGGAAAAGAATTATATGAATATATAGCAAATGAAATAGAGTCTATATTTATGAGAGAAAACTGGGATAGAAAATCAATTGCACATTTCTCTTGCTGGCTCAAATATTCTTAATTAGATTTGTGGGTTATACAGTGGAATTGGTAAAGGCGCATACTGTGAAAAAGATATTTAGAGACACAAAGTTTTTCTCCAAAAGGTTGTACATTGGAACTGAATATAAGTTATGTGTTTTTCTATTGGCAACATTTAACAAAGAAGAAATATCTATAGGAATCCTTGTTCTTAACTCCACATCCATTCAAGACAGTCTTAAATATTCTATCGATGATCTGAAACTTGAATTATATGAAAATCTGTCTAAGTTTGCAATGTTATGCTAATTCTGGAAAAGAGACATTATTATTTTTATTTATCTTACTTTTAGTATTTAGGAATCAGTCCTATTTTATTAAATAACAAAACTCTTACTTTCAAAATGACAAATAGAATTCTGGCTCACAGTGGATGACTATTAGAATAACCATCCACTGAGCAACAGAATTGTACATATTTCTTCCTAACTTGTGCTCCTAGAATACTACTGGGTTGGCTGAAAGTTTTGTGATTTTTTTTTAATGTTTGATGGCTTTAGTAGCACTTAGTTGTCTTAACTTTGTTCGAAACAATTTTTTTAGATTGTATTGTGACAGCTGTCCTACACCATGCATTAAAAAATCAACATTTGTGAATTTTTGTGTAGCCATTTTAATATTGAAGATGGAAGAAAATAGGCAACATTTTGGCATGTTGTGTTTTATTATTTCAAGAAAGGTAAAAATGCAAATGAAATGCAAAAGAAAGATTTGTGCAGTGTATGGAGAAGGTGCTTTGACTAATCAAATGTGTCGAAAGTGATTTGTGAAGTTTTGTGCTGTAGATTTCTTGCTGGATGATGCTCCATGGTCAGACAAGCCAGTTGATGTTAATAGTGATCAAATCAAGACATTAATTGAGAACAATCAGTGTTATACCTCACCAGAGATAGCCAACCTACTTGAAATACCCAAATTAATAAAATTATTGGTGAAAATAAAAAATGTGTCTTTTATTTTATGGAAAAATATAAATGGACTTTTTGATTAACCTACACTTTTTGATATTTCTACACTCTCCTAGAAGATCCAGTGTATGGCTCCAACATGAAGGTTATATATAAGGCAGTACAGTGAGTCCTCATTTGCTACATCATAGAAAGATTCTTGGAAACTGCAACTGTGGGTGAAATGACGGATGATGAAAGCGATCTTACCACAAACTCATTGATATAAACAAGAGGTAATATTTTTGGTCACAAAACATCATCATAATTCTAAATAAAGATACCAACACTGCTAATATTAAACTTTGAAATAAATGTGAGCTATACTTACATTTAAGGAAGATTAATGAAAACAAATAAGCTTATTCTTATTTTCCAATGAGCTTTTTCTACCTCAGGGTGATGGGTGGCCAGAACCTGTGCATGTCCAGGCTGCTCAGGGTCCAATGAAGGACCCACCTTGGGCTAAATGCACGTTCATTACAGAGCACAAGCCCACACAGCCACAGCTCACTCAGACTGGGCTGGTGCAAACACACTGATCCATTCCATGTGCACAACTTTGAGAGGGGGAGGAAATAGGAGAACCTGGAGAAAATCTCACAGATGCAGGGAGAATGGGCAAACTCCACAGAGGCAGTGGCCCCTGCCCAGGATCATTTTTATTTCTCATCAACATTGTAATAAAATTATGTTCAATGTGATGTTATTTGAGGTCCTGCTATAGTAAAAAGTAGAAGGTGTGGAGTTGGACAGAAATGGGTTTAAATGCTACCACTTCTATGTGTCAATAGTGTGACCTTAAAAAACCTCTAGAGCTATTTTTGCTTTTTAAAATATGAATAACATCATCTAATACCTACAGTTGTTGAGAGGATTACATTTGATGATGCCTGCAAATTCCTTAACACACTAGTGTATAGTAAGAATTCAAAAAATAATAATTATTACAATTAGAACTGTTGTTACGTCTGAATTTAGTCTGGTTCCCTGTGGTTCATGCAAAGATTCTCTCTCTTCTTAAACAAAGATTTACTATTTAGTGAGGTCAAGGAAATCTTGGATAATTCAATTTGAAGTGCCTGATTGAGTTTATCATGAATGATTAGGCATGTTGGGCCTAAGATGGCTCTCAGGATGCAATGTTAGATAATTATTCATTTATCCAAATTGTATGTATTTATGTTTTTCCTAAGATACAACCCTACTTTACATTTTTTAAATGATCTATGTGTTGTCTGAGTTTATTTTGGTGGACAGTGTTTAGTATATTTTGAGAAGCATTTTGTACATGGTGGAAAGACATACTGGTCTAAGACATATTGGTTATAAGTGAAGAGTTTGCAGTATGCTTTACCTTGGGACACAGAGGATTATCTTGTGCAAACTTCTTACCTAGTAGAAGATGTAACTGGGGCTCATAGGAGTGAAGTGATTTGATAAAATGGCTGGAACCGCAATCAGAATTCAGGATCCTTGACTTTTTGTCCTGAGTACATTGCTTCTCCTTACAATTCTGACCTACTTGAGGACTATGTGAAACATCTATTTAAATGTGCTTAATATAAAATTTTCTTATATTGAATGCTGTTTCCAAAAGGCAAATGGTATGTTTTCTAGTCTTTTTGGGGGAACTTGAGATAATATTCAGTTTTAGAAACAAATGTTTGACTATATAAATTCCTATCTAAAGGAGGTTTAATGCTTGAAAGGATTTTTAAGGATTAAAAAAAATAAAAGGATTTTTTTCACAGCCTCGGTGTTATTGAGTTATTCCTGACTTATTTTTCTGATTTCAGCTGACACAGTAAGTAATTTTTGGTTACTCAGTACTTAGGGAGTGCTAGATGTCTTGAGAATACTATTGAGCTTGGTCCCATCAATACATCTGGAGGTGAAGCAAAACCCTGAACTACTGTGACAATTGCCATGACATCACTTACCAGGCTCTATCTATCTAGAATAAGTGTCCATTGCTTAGTGTATAAAGTGAATGAACACAAATTTATTGTATCTATAGTTGAAAAGCAATGAAAAAATACTTAAGTAGTCAACTGCTTCAAACGAGAGACCTGTTTTTAAGGTGGATACACATTTCTCGGCTTTTACTAGAAGTTATGCAACCAATTTTGGCTTTAGTTGTATACTTTATTTTCATGTTAACATACTCTTTAAAGGTAGGGTCGAATAAGTGGAAAATATGCCAGTGTGTAAAATCAAACTATGAAACCACACAGATTATTTAAGTTGGGGATGGTACCTTGATGCTATCTATATTTCAGTCACTTACTGGAGGCAAGAATTGTTTTGCTTATGTTAATGATTTACAAGGTTATCAGTAACTATGGCAGTAGAATGGGAATATTTCTTAAGATAATAGAAAATAAGATAAATAGTTTTAGTCTTATTGATTTTTTCTAAATAATTTTTGACTATTTATGTATTTTGTAAGGTAGGTTTGCATTGTTTCATATCAGCTGTGTTATTTAGAATGGGTTTTCAGTGCCATGAACCTTTCATGACACATTGCATTCTATAATATGTCTACCAATTCGATACCAAGAAATCCACACAAAAGCCCATAAGTCACATAAGAAACTATCACATAAAAAACTTTAAGCAGTCTCCCAGTGGCTATGGCATTATTAATAATACTTAAGTATTATGAGTTGAGATTCTTCAAGATCTTCTCTCTTCTAGGAAAAGGCATGTCATACATTGTAATCTGCATTTCAAATGCTAATTCCTTTAATATAATCTTCAGAAAAATCAATCCAACAAGGTAGGTCTTATGTTCACTTTACAAAAAAAGAAAATTGAGGCATGGAAAGGTTAAGCAAATCAAAAACTGTCCTGGCCAATTTGATGCCAAATCCTGTTCGTAATCAATGCACTGTATCATCGGTGTTACAGATGCCAAGCCTTTAACTCCTTCTGCGTTTGAAAATTTTCCTATCTCATTACCTTTATTCTCATTTCTATTAGCATTATAGATAGGCTCCCATTCTTCAATTAGCAGTCTGATTTCTTAGTTTTGAACCTAGCTCTTGCCTGACTGCTCCTAGGACTCAGGAGCCTTGGGTTAGAGGTAGCTTCCACTCATGAGTTGTCTGTTTGTTTGTTTAGCTGGGTCAGAGATAGATATTGTTCACTTGCCTCATAAATTTACACTTCGAGAGTTAGCTTGGTACAGTGGCAAGAGCAGATACAGTAGATTAAGACCAAACTAGGTTCAAATCTTGGATGGAGCACTTGCAACACAACTTCAGGGAAATGTTAGGGTCTCTCTGAATGTTCTCTTCGAGAATACTGACTTTCTATACAAATTTAGAGAAGGGATATGCAAGAAAATAATCTGGAAATTAGTTTTCATTCTAGCTATTGGTTTTAAGCAATTGTATAATTTTATTATTATTATTGTTTAAAAACAGTATCACCTTTATTATTGAACATTTAATTTCTCATTCTAGCTCTAGATGCATAAACTACATTGTGGTATGTTTGAACCAGGGACTTTGTTTCTGAGGATGTCAGAAGTGTAAGTGCCTCTAGAACCATGCCTCTTATGGTAGATAAATTTACTGTTCACAGAGAATTCAGGTGTTCGCCCACCTTCTCTCACTCCTGTTCTCCCCTCCCCCATAGGCCAAGCAGTCCCATTTGATTACTTCTAGCCAAGGGACAGTGAGGGGAAGTAATATAATATGACTCACTTTCAAATAAAAAGTATTTATGAGCTTTTGTGTGGGCCCTCAGCTCATTCTTTTTCTGATGCAGTAACCGGATGTGGAATGTTCTCATTGACAGAGTTACAAGATAAAAGTAACTTGAATTCTTATGATATCAGTTGGAAGATTTACCAGACCCGAAAGAACATAGCAATTCTGGGGTGCATTTGTTATTGCAACACAGTCTAAGCTAACCTGACTAATACATGAAACCTTTGGAGGAGTATACACATATACACATACACACATATATTTTTAACATGGTAAGGATACAGGTAACTAGCAAATATAAAGAGGAGTTGTCATAAGTTACCTAAATAATTTAAGTAGACAAAAGTAATAAATGTCATTGTCACCAGTAAAAACTTTGTGGTTCTACAGAGAGAAAAAATTCTTTTTTTAAAACTTGTTTTAAAATTTAATTTAATTTTATTAAATTTATTAGGGTGACATTTGTTAATAATTCTAACATTTTAAAAGCAAACGTTTTGCCATGCTGAATATTTTCATATAGGATTACTGATTGATTCAGACCAGCCTATGCTTGATGTAAAACTCTTTAATAATAAAAGAAAAAACCCTATCTAATTATATCATACCAGCTCAGGTTAATGTTCTAATTTAGGATTTACATCTCTTATATTCTGAAAAGTAAATATTTTGAAGCAAGAGTGGAAACTCAAGAAAACTGTCCACAGTTTAAGATTGTGTATAAAGACAAATTTACAATGATTTATGAGAGTTTCACAATTCAGTTATTTCACTCACCATAATAAAAAAAATCAGGTCAATGACTCTGCAATCCAATCAACATCACAGCAATTGTCCTATAATTGGTTGGATAACTCACATGGCTAGTATGTTCAGTAAGCCAGTTGCATACTGGAATGCTTTAACTCCCCAGGCTTCACTTACTTTTCTACCAAACTATTTGTATTTGATAATGTAGATACACAGATAGGTTTTGATTTCATGTTCTATATGATTTGATTTAAAATTTGTGGCCGATGAATGCATGGCATTTAAAAATATATGGAATATTCACTGATGATGTTAATTTGATGATGTTTGCTTTTAATTGGAAAGGTCAAACATGATATTTCACATTATTCTCTAATTACACATTTCTATGTCTGAAGGTTTAGTAGTTCTTGTCTTATTAGTGATGATTTGATAAGTGAGGAGGATGATGGCAGAGTGAAGCCCGTCAGACGTGGGCTGCAGCCACGAGTCCTGTGGTTGGCCCCCAGCTGTCTTACAAATGCATTTGTACCTGAGTGTCCCTGGGCTGGCCATGCAGCTGTTCTCAGATTTATTTTCCGTATCTGAAGAGTGAAGATTCTAATATCCTCCATACTTAAACTCATAGGGCCAGTCAATGTAAGAATCAGATTAGCTAAAGCATGTGAAAATGGCTTAATGACATATAAATGTTATGTTTACATTTATTTAAACTTGTGGACAATGTACAAATATACAAATAACCACTTATTTGGTGAATCAACTCTCTTAATCCTTTCTTTGCCTTCCAACTTGGAACACTAAACTGTTTGCCAGTCTCCTCGTATAAACATTTCCTGACCTTTCACCCCATCCCCAAATCTTAGCTAAATGCTCCTCATCTATGGTTCAGAGAACCCTCTGCATAACTGCACGACAGCACTTACCACAGAACCTTGACAGGATGTGTCTCTGCCTGTCTCCTCCACTAGACGGTGGGCTCCTTGAGGGCTGCAGCGGTGTGGTTTTTACTTTTGCGTCTCCCATTCCCTGCGTAATACTTGGCGCATTGGCCATGCTCCTAAACGTTTACGAAACTGATCATAAAACTTGGAGGCACTATGATGACTAGTATATTTTTAAACAAATATTCTCATTTAAAAATATTATTCCACTTGGCTGGTTGACAACTTACAATAAATATGACTTTGCAATTTCTAGTTGGAAACCTCTTAATTTCTTAATTGGCTTCATGCAATTTATGTTACATCTAATAGAAAGCAATAAGTAATTTTTCTGCTTTTAATATTACTAGAAATAGTTTTTGCAAAACATGAAAATTCTTTGCAACTTTTTCCTTTTAAAGTTCTACTGAGCAGTTTATGGAATGGCAACTTGCCAAATGGTGATCCATTTTCTCAAAAACATCGTTTGAGACCGTGCCAACGAGGCACACTGTGCTTATCTACTGCATCATAGTACAGTCACATAATTCGTGCAAAATTATGTTTGACATTAAATTATAAACCCTTAGCGTAATAATAAAAAATAAATAACCCTAAAAGCAAATTAAAAATATGTTTTCACTGGAGCAGGTTATTAGCCCACTGGAAACTTGATCTGTCCTAGTCAAGCCATGGGCATGCTTCCATTTCTGGAGGGGTTTGAAGTTTCTCTCTGCACAGAGAAAAAATCCCTAATTCATGAAGGGAAAATTAGCTAATAAAATAATTTTTTCCTCCTGAACTGCTCTGTTGATGAAAACATGTCCATTGCAATCATAGAAATGAGTGACTTTTCAAATAAAGTAGTTTGTGTTGCCATAAACAGAAGGATGGTAAGGCCATCACTGTTCTTTGCCAAAGGAAAGGGTAGCCAGCTATGTCCATCTTTTTCTACTGCAGTGTTCATATAATTAGCCTCTTCTTGGGGCTGAAGTAGCCCAAATGAGAGCCCACCAGAGAGATCTGGGTTCTCTCTGAGTTTGTACATCGTGAAGCAAAAAACTAACAAACACAAAAACCACCTCTCTGGCCAAAATATTATAATGATGAAAAATACTTCTACTTTATTGCACCTGGTATTTCAATCCTTGTAACTGTTTTAATGTCTCAATAGGTATTCTCTGTGTTGACAGACCTGCTAATTATAGATGAAGATTTTCGTTGGGGTCGAAACGGTCATTCCTGGCTTCTGATATACAGATCCAAGAGTTTACCTTCTGCTTAAAGAACAATTTGCTGCAGCAGGCCTGCCCTTAAATTATTATGTATGTTTCTGCAATGATAAGCCACAATAAAAACCATGCAACAATAGTAAGATTTCTCTCTGATTTATTTGTGAGGTTTAATTTTAATTGGTTTTCTTATTAAGTGTAATACTTATTCTTGCTTATTTGTAGTTAAAAATTAGTGCTGTTTTTCTTGTAGATAAAATATATTTTTTGCATCTGTACAAATGTTTATGAAAGATAATTTGTGTTTCTTTATAAAAACATCAAAGGGGGGTATGTTTTCTTTAATATACTGAGAAATAAACCCACAGACCAGACAGACTGCATCTGTGGGGAAGACACAGGACTACATTTTACCCAAGATAATATTTCAAAATGATTGCCAGGTAACCTGCAAAATTGTAATGTGTTCTGCTGCCAAATTCATTTTAGCATTGGGAATTAATTTTCCAACATGATTTTGGAAGTAAGAGGTGAATTAATTATTGCAGGCACGGTGATATCATTGGAAGTCTGAAGTTAGACAGTGATTCAGATGAACACGAAACCAGTAATATAATTGGACTTGGTTCCTTTATCTTTCAAGGGCTCTTTTACATGACAACACAATATTCACACTGTTCCAAGGGATACCTTTGGCACTTCTACAATTCTAATTTCTTTCCATGCTTGCTAGTTCATTGTTGATTCTTGGAACCCAAGCAGGACAGAGGGGGTGGAGCAGGGCTCTTGTCCGCCTGCCTTTCTCAAGCAAGCCCCAGGTCTCCAGTTAGCCCAGGGAGCATTCGTAAAACTTTTCCTCAGAGACCAATTAATTGTTCTCCTTAGTGAGGAATGCAAACCTTTGCTATAAATGTCAATGGGACTGGTGACTCTGAAGGGATCTGGAGGTGAACTCCGGTGCAGGGGGCACTGGGAAGGATCACGAATAGTCTCCAGGAGGAGGTGCACGTTTAGGCCCACCATGCATGGCTGCCCTAGACCAGAAGCAGAAGACAGAGTCAGGTGGTTTAAATCTTTCCCACAGACAAGTTTGGAATGTTGTCAAGTAATATGTGTTTGCCCTTGATATTAGAGATCCAAAAGACTGTCTGAGCAGTGAAAATAAGTCCCAGGCCTACAGAGAGGAATGAAATGACAGTAGCTTGAAAGGCAGCGGAATCTATCTCTACAAACAATTCCTTTTCCTCAGTTTTTCTGATTTTCCCTCAGTTTTAGGGTGTATATGGTGTTCATCCTTTTCTTTCTTTTGTTTTCCATTTCTTTCATTTTTAAAGAACAGAATTACATTAGTAAACACAATATTAAAATTTATCTGATAATATTTGTTAAGAGGTTCACATTCTGTGAGAAGTGTTTTTTTCCTTTATTTCTTTCCATATTAATGGGTGTAAAAGAAACTTTAGCTGGTAAGCAGAGGCCATTTATATAACACAAAGTAGTAGCTTAAACAGCGCAGATGGTTTTCTGGGACAACAGGCTTCCTCAGCCTGGAGTTTACTCACTTGGTCAAAGGATCATTGGTTATGAGCTAGCAGCACTTGTATTTGGCCTTTGAATTCCAGATTGAATATCTCTCCCTTGGCTGAATTTTATTACCATGTAATAAAATAAAATCCAAGGTACTTAAACTCTTCTTAATGAGGACTACCAAAATATTTTTTAAAGTTATTCTGTGGCTCTCCCTTTCTACTCTCTATATTTTAATGAGTTTTGAAGAAAAAAAATATAAAATGAATACTTAGACCATGTCTATGTAACATTAATATAATGATGGGGACATAAAAAATCAAATCATCAGTCATTTGGTTTGTCAAATGTTGAAAGGAAATAACCAGGGTTTTTATTTTGTTCTTTCATTTTTTTTTTGCCTGCTGAGCTGATCAGACTAACTAGGTATTCACCTCAGAATTAAGGCATTTATAACTGGTTTCAAAAGAGGAAATAAGGCCTCTTATACATCATTTCTCTCAGTTGTCCTTTTATTTTCTTCTTTCTTGACCACTTGTTTATTTTAAACTTGGATTTGGATACAAGGTTCCCTTAAAAAAAACAACAAATGAACCAACAAAACCCGTATCGCCAATTCTAGTATTTTTGAAGATTCTTATTTTTAATTCTCACCTGAGGACATGTTTATTGATTTTAGAGAGAGAGGAAGGGAGAACGAGAAATATCAATGTGAGATAGAAACATTGATCAGTTGCTTCCCATACATTCCCTGACCAGCGACTGAACCCGTTACCTTTGGTGTGCCGCATGGCATTACAACGGACTGAACTGCCCGGTCAGGGCTAAGATAGACACACACACACACACACACACACACACACACACACACACACACACATTTTAAATATGGGGAAACATTTTTTCAGCATGAAACTAAATTGATGACTAGAACACAAGATTTAGATCCTTTTGTTGCTTATACACTAAGTAAATTACTGTAACATATGTACAGAACACACGTAGGCTCATTTAAAGAAGACTGTAAGCAGAGAGTTTGTTGTTATTTTCTTAAATATCATATTTGACTATTTTACTTTTCTGTTGTAGGGTTCCTCTCCACTGTAAAAGTAAAATAGGCAACTAGGTCAATATCATGGCTACATCAGGTGGAACTACTTTACCTGCCTTGTTGAATGGAGATGAAACCATTTTCAAATAACTCCCACTTGACTTTTTCAAAGAGAAGCAATATAGGCTCTTCAGGCATTCTGCATGCAGTTATTTGAAGTTGCATTAATTTTGTATCAGATAAAGAAAATCACACATATCTCCTCAAACCAACACACAGAGCTGCACAGAGTACACTGGCTGTGTCTCTTGCTAGCATATGGTATTCATCATTAGCAGTAGCAGCAGCAGCCACCTCTTTTAGTTGACTGGTGGAAAATAGAGCCCCAACTCAAATCTCTGTCTGCTCGCCATAGCTTTTTCCAGTTAAATTGGTACCACAATCTGTATGGTTTCATCACTCCATTGGCAGTTTAATATAAACATCTGTTTCCAGTCTTTTATATCCTATCTGAGATTTATTCAGTCCCTCTGAGTTATCTGTCCTTTTCTCCTTCCCCATTTATTTCCCTTGACTTCTAAATGATGCTATATTTTCCAGAATTTCTTTGGTCTTTTGCTCAGATGTATGCATCGTTAATGTATTTAATTATCTTTTTTTTTCTTCCTGGAGCCTGAGCTGTTTGTTTATAATCTATTCCCTCCCTATAAATTATGAAGGTCTGTACCCTCACAGCTCAATTTTCCTTGAAAATACAGTAACACAATCCCAGATTTCAATGATGAAGGTGATTATTTTATTGTGATTGGCATCAAAATCAAACTGTGAAGAATTTTATTCAAGCTAAGTGATTTTGTCCATTCTCCACCCATATTTTGCATTTACCACTGTAAAGCACATGCATTTGAAGGCCCTAGTGCTCAGGATTTATTTTTCTTTCTCTTCCATTAAATATATAATGTTGGAAAGTAAGGGCATTTCCTGCGAGGTAATAATCTGTTGTAGAAGCAGAGACCCTGAATCAAAGGCGGTAGAGTCTTTTAATTCAACTATTGGTTAAATGTCAGGCAATGTCTGACCAAGAGGTCATTATTATTAAGTCAACAAAAGCTTTTATTTTCTTATCTCCTTTTTATTTTGGGAGCTGTTCATAAAGATTGATGCTGTGTGAGTCACTAACTGCAAGAAAATGGTGGAATTCTGTAAACAATTGGCAAGCAGAACTTTGTTCTTATTGTCCCATTAAGCTTAATATGAGGTGTTAAATTTAATGAAATGTGGTGAGTGAAGTGTTATTTTCTTATTGGTTACTGTAACAGTCATTAACAAGTAGGACACGACTAGTACTGAAAATAGAATACTGTATCCATGACAACACAGAGTTCAGCTTTTCCGTTTTCAGCAAATGGGACAGCAATTACTTAATATTTTCTTGATTTATTAATTTCCTTATAAGTGGGAGTAACAAGAAGACTCTTGAATGAGGCAGTTAATTGTCCAAATTAGGTAAAAATTTTAGTTACATCACATATAATAATATAATAATATAGTCTTTCATTCATTCCTATAAACATTCATTGAGATCCTACTACATGGTAGATATCATGCATATGGAAACCAATGAGATGCAGTTTTGGTCCACAAGTTGTTTAGGGTCTATTAGTGCAGTTGTTTGCAAAGTAGGGTCTCTAGACAACCAGCATCAGCAGTACTGGGAACTTGTGAAAAATGCAGATTTCTAGACCCTTCCAAGACCAGTTGAATCACACACATGCTGGTGAGGCCCTGTAATCTGTATTTTAACAACCCCTTCAAGAGCTTTTGGTGTTCTTAAAGTTTGAGAATGGCCAGTTGTATGGAGAAATTAAAAACTTTTTAAAGGATAATACCTTGCTTTATATCTAGAATGATTACATGAGGATACTTTGACTAAAGAAAGTTATAATTACACAGAACTTAAGTTCCATAAATATTTGCCCCTTATAGGTTTATGGCCAAGAACTATAGGCCATGGACTAACTTCCCATGATTGATTAAAATCCTAATGAAAGTTTTATTCTGGAAAATAAATTCATTCTACCTTTCTCCACAACCTACTGCTCCTGTATTTATGGATGAGTAACATTGCTACTCAGACATTGTCCCAAATCTGATAGTCTTACACCTCTCACTCCACATATTTAACCAAACACTCCCATAAAGGCAGATCTCTCATATTCATCTCTACAGTGAATTCCTTAATTGAGACTAAAAATATGGACTAGTCATCACCATACAGACTTTACATAAGCCTCTCAGTTCTCATTACAGGATGTTTAGTTCATACTTTTCACATGTTGCCAGAGAGATCTTTCAAAACAAAAATCTTGATCATGTTACTATCTTGTTTTGATTAATTTAATGATTCCCTGTAAGCTTTTAGATAAAATTCAAACTTTTTAGCATAACATATAAAGCTCTCTAGTCTCAAGAATTCTCAGAAGGAAGAATTCTTCCCTATTCTTCCCCGTCATTATGACCTACCTCTACCATACATTTCTCTACAATCATCCTGAATAAAA